CAAGTGGACGCCCAACCCCCGGCATTTCGCTTGTAAATCGTTTCCAAGTAGCCCTGGCTTATTCACTCCGCTGGGGAGGACTGGCTCCAGGGACCGCCGGCCTGTTCGGTTCCCGAGACACGCACAGCCTGGCCGACTCTCCGGGCTGACGACGGGGGGAGCTCTCCCGGTCCCGTTCCAAGGGCGCGCCCTGGAGGCCGGGTCCTGGGAATCGAGAGCCGGAGAGCGGTTGGCCGCCGCCCTCTTCCGGGTCTGGGGGGCGGGGCGACGGCCCAAGCCCCGCCCACGTTAGGGGCGGAGCCACAGCCCGGGACCGTCCTAAGCTGCCGCAGGTAATGCGGTCCGGGTCTGGGGTTCTCCGGGCGGTGGGTCTCACGCTATCTTGGGCGGGGGCGGTCGCATCCTTTAGGGTAGTGGCCCCTGACCGGGTGGAGAGCCCTGGGGAGGGCGTGATCGGACTCCGGCCCGGCCACATTGACGGAAAGGAACCAGTCTGTCCTCTCACGACCCTGACTCCTATCCTCTATCGCTGCCACGCGGGGATGGGACTGGGGGATGGGACTGGCAGGGGTGGCTGTAGGAAGTCCCCGCCCATGCGAAGTTTACCCCACTGGGTTTTGGGGACCGCGGCCAGGGGCTTAGGCCAAAGGTTGGATTTATCCATTTATCGCCCAGAAATCTCATCCATTTTCTTTCTTCATTCACTCATCCCTCAGTTCTACTTTAAGCTGAGCCCATTGGTAGGTTCTCTAAATGAATCTGAGAGGCCCACCTCTGTTGGAATTTAGTCTAGAATCTAATCTAGAGACCTTTAAATAGATAATTACATTCAGGGTGATCCCTGCAATGATGGTGGCTTGATAGATAACCTTCAGAGGGAGAAGGAAGTAACTTGAGGATGTAAATGGAAAGCAACAAATCAGGGAAGGTTATACTGAGAAGCCGGGGGGACATTTGAACTGGGCTTTGGAGGTTCACTGGGAGTTTCCTAGTTGACAAGAAAGGAAGGGACATTTCAGGTAGGGGAAGTAGCACAAGATGCAAGATATGAAAGGGCCTGCCATGTTAGAAACAACAAATATAGCAAGAATAGCTCACTATAGCAAGAAACTGTGGAGCTGAGTTTCTGAGAAGAAGGTTGAGTCCAGAAGGATTTCAATGCCATGCTGAGGCCAGGATTTATCCCAGAGTTCAGTATTTCCCAGCCTTTTAAAATATTTTGTTTGGAGTGCCTGGGTGGCACAGTCTGTTAAGGCTTCAACTTTTGGTTTCCAGCTGGGGTGGTGATCTCTGGAGTGGTAGGATCCAGCCCACTCATCAGACTCCAGGCTGAGTCAGCTTGGGACTCTTTCTCCCTCCCCTCTGCCCCCCCCCAACAAATAAATCTTTAAAAAATAAATAAAATATTTTATCTTTTGGGGTGCCTGGCTGGCTCAGCTGGAAGAACATGTAACTCTTGATCTCCGGATCATGAGTTTGAGCCCCATGTTTGGTGTAGAGTTTACTAAAAGAAATAAAGCTGGAGCGCCTGGGTGGCTCAGTCGTTAGGCGTCTGCCTTCGGCTCAGGTCATGATCCCAGGGTCCTGGGATTGAGCCCCATGTCCTGCTCCCTGCTCAGCAGGGAGTCTGCTTCTCCCTCTCCCCCTGCCCCTGCTTGTGTTCCCGCTCTCGCTGTCTGTCAAATAAATAAATAAAATCTTTTTTAAAAATAATAAACCTTAAAAAAATAAATAAAACAAAACATTTTATCTTTTGATGAGCATGAACATTTTATGACCCCTGGAAAAAAAAATTTTAAGATTTTATTTATTTATTTGATAGAGTGAGAGAGAGAGAGAGCACACAAGCAGGGGGAGCGGCAGGCAGAGGGAGAAGGAGAAGCAGACACCCTGCTGAGCAGAGAGCCCAATATGGGGCTCGATCCCAGGACCCTGGGATCATGACCCGAGCTGAAGGCAGACGCTTAACTGACTGAGCCACCCAGGCACCAACCCCCCCGAAAATTTTTTTAATTGAAAATCACAGACACACAGAAAACTTTAGCCAAAAACTTCTATAATTGTGTTAATAAAGTTGTGTTATATTTGCCTCCCAAATATAAGTTTATATCAAAGGGTTGGTAATGCTTATTCAAATTAATCGGGCCCTAGAAAGTGGCACATCAAAAGGAAAGTTTTTAAGGAAGGAAGTGACCTGATTTGTTCTGTTTTAGGTGGAAGATAATCATTAATGTCTAAAAAGTACCTTTCTTTCTTATGCATAGGACACCATGAAGCTGCTACCAGTGTTGGAGCCTGGAGGCAAGCCCAAGAAAGCAACATGGTCTGTAAGGAAGGAGTCAGACAGAGAAAAGCATGAGTTTTGTTTCATTTTACATAGTTTACTAACATACTTGATCATCTGTGAAAAAGGGTAGGAATGAAACTGTCTGTAGTTGCTGGTAATTAGACTCAAACTGTCTGAAAGGGTCTTCAGAGGAAAGATAGTGGGGCAATAATTATCACAGAAAGATGTTGATTTTATTAAAATCCATTTGCTAGGAAGAGTAAGGCACTGACCATCTGGCATCCTCAGCTCCAACACTGTGTCTTCCCTCAAGCTGTGACTCACTTGTAAGATTTTCAGGGAAGTGGATTTGGATTAAACTGGCCTTACTGTTTCTTGGCCGCTGGCTCAACCAACCCTTTATTCAGCTAACACTGGCCTGGCGGGCAGCTGCTATGTAGGTGCTGAAGGTACAAAGGTGAATAGTCTCGGCGTCACTTGGGCTGCACTGAGCAGGTGATGGTGAGGAATTGTGGTCAGTACTGAAACAGGGCTCACAGAAGGCTTCAGGGAGAAGGCAGTGCTTCTGTAGGACCTTGGAGGAGAGTCTTTCAGTTTGGCTTCCCGGTGTCCCCTCTTATTCTCCAGCCAACATAAATCTGATCCTGGCATTCCCTGGTTTAAAACCCTTTTGTGCCTCTCTGATGTTGTTGGTTTTTTTTTTTTTTTTAAGATTTTATTTATTAATTTGAGAGAGAGAGAGAGTGTGAGCACATGAGGAGGGGGGAAGGGGCAGAGGGAGAGGGAGAAGCAGGCTCCTCGCGGAGCAGGGAGCCCAACGCAGGGCTCAACCCCAGGACCCTGAGATCATCACCCAAGCCCAAGGCAGATGTTTAACCACCTGAGCCACCCAGACACCCCTTGTGCTTCTTCGATCTTAAGATAAAAAGCAGAGTCCTTAAAATGGCCCATTGGACCTTGCATGATCTGTCCCTGCCTGTCTTTCCAACCTCAAGTACCCTAACTCATCCTTTGTTCTCTTTCTCTTCTTTAACATGCCTTGCACTGCAAACGCTGGTACTGTATGTGCTGGTCTCTACCTGGGGTCACTCTTTCCCTCCATCTTTCATCCCTCTCTTTGCCCCGCTAACTTCCACTCATACTTCAGAGCTCAGTTCAAATGATGTTTCTTCAGGAAGCCTTCTCTGACCGCCTCCTTCTCCCACCTCTCCTTATATAGGGTGAGGTCCCCTTATGATATGTTGTCATGCAATATTTCCCTTGTCCTCCTTTACAGCACAATTAAAATAAAATGGATATTTGTGAAATCATCCGTTTAATGTTTCTCTTCCCAACTAATCTGTAAGGGCTCTGAAGGCAGGAACTTTCTGTCTTATTCACCATGTATCTGGGTGGCTGTGTGCTCTTGGATAAGTTATTTAACCTTTCTAAGTCTTGGGCCCTCAGTTGTAAAAAGCAGGTGATGTTAACAGTACTGTCCTCAAAGGGGTTTTGTGCAGATTAAGGGAAACCGGGATCGTAACAAAGTTAGCAGCAGGCATGGTATGTTGTTAGTAATCATTCAGGTGATTATAGGATGTGTGAATCTGGTCATCAGAAGAGAGATCTGGAAAAGAAATAGAGACTTGGAAATCACTGATGAATATATAGGTGGGTGGTAACTGAAACAAACCGTCAGTGCAGATGAACTTGATAGGGTAAGCGAACGTAGAGGAGGGAAGAGAAGCCAGGGGTACTGAGGCTCAGGAAACAGCTAGTGGGAGTGGAGTCAGAGCCAGGAAACAGAAAAGAGCAGCCAGAAAGATGGGTGGAGAACCAAAAGTAAGGGATGTGGGGAACCAGATAAGGAGAAAGGTATGAGAAGGAAGGAAGAGTCAGGACTACCAAATGCCAGAGAGGTCTAACGAGACAGGGTCTGAAACAGCTACAGAATTTTCTTTTCCAACCAGGAAGTTTGAAGTATGTTTTTAGAGTCAGTGTTCAGAATAACTTTAGAGAGTGGGATGGATGGATCCTATATTTGGTTTTTTCAGAGTCCTAGCTCTGGCTTCCATCAACTCAAGCATTATGAATAATCTGGGAAAGCTCTTAAAATCAATACATCCTGGAGAATATTACTTGACAGTGCCTCGCGGGCTAGTGGCTAAAGAGCGTTAGGACAGTAGATTCCTATGTGAGTGCACCTGAAGCTCTAGCCACCATTTACTGAGCTCTTCCTGCTCTGTTACAAGACCTTTTCTTACCCTTCACGGGTAAGAACTACTGCCATCCTCATTTTACAAACGAGGAAACTAAGGAAGGTTTAGAAAGGTTAAATGACTTCTGAAGGGTCACACATCTCGAAAGCATCTGACCTGGGGCTTGCGCCTGGTCTGCCTGAATTCACAAACCATACTCATGACTCCCATCTCATGCCAGGACACACCACTGAACTTTTCTGGCTGTCAGTTTCCCTGCCCACCCAATGGAGACAGTTACTAGTCCAGTGCATCCCCATTAGGTTAATGTGAGACAAAAGTAGTGACAAAACTGAAAAGTCAAAGGTTATGTGCAAATGGAAGTTAGTGTTATTAATCGGGAAAACACCGCTTTGCTGGATACAACTTAGTGTGTATGTGTGTGTATGAGAGCCCTCATTCTGGGGAGTATTTCATGAGGAGTGGAAAGAACACACCACTGCCCGGGTCTCCTGAATGCATCCTCCCTCTGGCAGGTACACCTTGACCCCCCCTGGAGACAGCCCCTGTGCTCGGGTTGGCCACAGCTGTTCATATTTACCCCCAGTCGGTGACGCCAAGAGAGGGAAGGTCTTCATTGTTGGGGGAGCAGATCCAAACAGGAGCTTCTCAGATGTGCACACCATGGATCTGGGTAAGACTAGCAGATGCGGGGCAGGTGCCTTGTAGCCAGAGAGCAGAGCTGGTGCTACTGGACATGACGAGAGCATTCGTAAGAACACCAGTCCAGGCCAGAGAGCAGGGTTCTCCTCTAAGAAAATGAACATCACTGAGAAGTCCCTAAGGTCTCAGCAGACCTCTAGAACACATCCACCCAACCAATACCTTCTTTTTGGGGGCCACAGAGTCTGTTTAGAGCCCTGGACATCCAACCATTCCTTCATCAAATATTCCTCTGGGAGACAGAGGAAGAGACCTCCTCTTCTATCCACATATCCAATTAATCACCAAGTCCTAAGTCTCTCCATCTTCAACCTTGTCTGTCCATATTGCCTACTACTACAGTCCAAGCATTATTGCTTCTCTATTAGACATTCCAACAGGCTCTTCTCTGGTCTCACTGCTTCCAAGTTTACCCCTGGATGATGCATTTTCTATACCTAGCCAGAGAGTATTGTCTAAAATACAAATCTGACCATGTCACTCCCATGTTTCAAGCCTTTCCCCACTCATTTCTTGGCTCTCCCAAACTCACATTTGCTACACTGAGTATCCTTCAGTTCCTTGGACATGTCTGAATTTCTGGTCTCCAAGCCTTTGTACATACTGCTCTGTCTGCTTGGAAGGCTCTTCCCTTTTCTTATCACCTGGCTACTATTCATCTTTCCAATCTCAGATTAATGATCACTTCCATTAGGAAGCTTCGCCTGATACTTCTGGACTAGTTTAGGCACTATCACGGGAAAGGAGAAACCATTCTGTGTTCCTTCTCTACTCGTACCTCTCGACACTAGTCTCAGTACTTCATTTCTGGCCCCCAAATGTCTGGGGATCTTTCCCCACACCAAGCAATTCTGCAGCACCTGCTGAGTGTCCTCCAACTCAATTCAGTTCTGACAAGATCCCCCAGGATTTAGCATCAGATCCCACAGGTGAAGGGCTCGGTCCTATACGACTCTCCCATCCCTTCCCTACTCCAGACACTACTCGAAAGTTCAGTTCGTTACCTGTGCTTCTTACCTACCAAGTATAAATCAGAGATTCCCATGATCCCCTCCTCGGGTTCCATTAATTTGCTGGAGTGGCTCACAGAACTTGGGAGTTTACTCCCAAGTTTACTTACTAGATCACTGGTTTATTATAAAAGGATATAACTCAGGAACAGCCAGGTGGAAGAGATGCATAGGGCAAGGTATGGGGGAAGGGCACAGAGCTTCCATATCCTCTACAGGTACACCATCCTACCAGCACCTCCATGTGTTTACCAACGTGGATGCTTTCCAAACTCCTTCTTCTGGGTTTTTTTGGAGGCTTCTTTACATAGGAATGATTGATTAAATTACTGGCCATTGGTGATTGATTCAACCTCTAGCCCCTCTACCCTTCCCAGACATGGGGGTGGGAGGCTGGGGCTGAAAGTCCCAACCTTCTGATCATATGGTTGGTTCCCCTGGCAACCAGCCTCCATCCTTAGGGCTTTCCAGAAGTCCCCCCATAAACATAAACCCAGGTATGGTTGACAGGAGCTTGTTACATAAGACACCTTTTCAATCTTATAATTTGGGAAATTCCAAGGGTTTTAAGAGCTCTGTGCCTGGAACTGACAAAGATAACATATATATTTCTTAATATAAATCACAATGTCATAACCTGCCCTCTATATTTCCATAGTATTCTTCACTTTCCCATTCCCCCTTCACAACCCTTATCACATGTGATTGTATCTTGTCTGTCTTCCCCACAAGAGTATAAGCTCCTTGGAAACAAGGAACATAGTTATATTATTCACCATTCATTGTATCCCCAGCCACTACCATAGTGCCTGGCACAGAGTATGTGCTTTTTAAAAAATTAATTTTTTTTTTTAAGAGAGAGAGAGAGTGAGTGAGGGCACAAACAGAAGGGGGGTGCAGAGAGAGAGGGCAAGAGAGATTCTTTAAGCAGGCTCTGTGCTCTGAGTGCAGAGCCCCACTCGGGGCCCAATTTCCTGTCCTTGAGATCATGACCTGAGCCAAAATCAAGAGTCAGATGCTTAACCCACTGAGCCACCTACGTGCCCCCAGAGTAGGTGCTTTTTAAGTATTTGGGTGGATAGATTGATGGATGAATGAATGAATGAAGAAGGAATGAATAGTGACCACTCTGTGCTATACACAATGGGCTGAAGAAAACCAGTGGCCCACATATACGTTTTGTTAGGTCCATGTCACGTTGCTGTTACCGTTTTAATCTAAGTTGTTCACCAACTGAATGTGCAAGGGTCTACATATAAAAATGGAAATGGTTTGGCTTCTCCTGATAATTTTGGGAGATCTGACATCTTAGGCCTCCATGTCTACATGGCAACAGTAGAGATGCCGCTTCTCAGTGGGGTTCTCATCCCCCAATTTGCCACGTTCCCTCCTACATAGGCATTTGAATTTCTACACCCGGCAGTAGGAAATCAAAGGCAAGTGAAATCTCTTCCAGCCCTCAAGAAACTCACTGTCTAGTTCACGTACATCTTTGGTGGGACCTAGTACTAGCTTTGTGACCCTGGCTAACCTGTCTAAACCATCTGGGCTTCAGTGTCCTGTAAAATGGGGATAATAGCTTACTCCCCTTGGTGTTTGTGAACCTGTTTGAGCCAGAAATTGTTTAGTTGCAGGTAATAGAAACTCTCTTAAACTGGAAAAAAAAAGGGGGAAGAATCCAAACATAGGAAACACAGCCTAGCCTCAGGAAAGAGCAGAAATACGAATTGGAAAGCCATCAGAAACCATCTACCTTCTCCCTCACTCTCTCTGGGGAGATCTGCTTCTTTATGTAGATGTTTCTTTTCTCTTCTCCATCCTTTGGCTTTAGCTGCTTCTCCACATATGATAGAAGAAATCCAGAAATCTGTTTGAATTCCAACTTCTCTGGAAGGAGGATCTGATTGACCCATTTTGGGTCAAGTGACTACCTTTGACCCAATCAAAGCCAAGGTGTTGTAGTACAAATAGGTCTTCTGCGATCTCTACCCCCGGGGTTGGGAGAACGGGGACAGTTTCCCTAGAGGAGGGTTTCTGGACTAGGCAGACAGCCCCTGAAGTTCTACTATAGAACTTTTTAGAATTTGATCATATTCCCTGTTAGTGACCTGATGGTTGTTCACTTATGCCTTTGACCCTTTTCTCCTCACTACTGTCCCCCAAGGCTGTCAACTGATAGAAGCAATTGGCAGCTCCAATGCAGGGACTGAGTGAAATGTCTTCTAGGAACACACCGGTGGGATTTGGCTGCCGCGGAGGGCCTTTTGCCCCGTTACGAGCATGCCAGCTTCATTCCCTCTTGTGCACCTCGTACCATCTGGGTGTTTGGAGGTGCTGACCAGTCAGGAAATCGAAATTGCCTACAAGTTCTGAATCCTGGTAAGTAGCCAAAAGTTATTTTTATTTACCTAAATAAAGAAATAAATCCTATTCCATTTCCTGGAACAAAACTCATTTGGATTGTCCTGAATAATTCATTTAACTTTGCTGACCTCATAGAAAATAAGAATTTTTATTTTTTATTTTTTTTAAGGATTTTATTTATTTGGGAGAGAAAGCGAGAGAGCACGAGAGGGGGAGAGGGCTAGAGAGAGAGAGGGAGAAGCAGACCCCCCACAATGAGCAGGGAGCCCGATGTGGGGCTCAATCCCAGGACTCTGAGATCATGACCCGAGCCGAAGGCGGACGCTTAACTGACTAAGCCACCCAGGTGCCTGAAAATAGGAATTTTAACTTCTGGAAGAATATGAAAATAACAGAATTACATCCCCACCCCGCCCCCACCCCCTGCACCTCATAACATGTCCAATTATCAACTTTTTTTTTTTTTTAAGATTTTTATTTATTTATTTGACAGAGACAGAGACAGCGAGAGCAGGAACACAAGCAGGGGGAGTGGGAGAGGGAGAAGCAGGCTTCCTGCTGAGCCGGGAGCCCGATGTGGGACTCGATCCCAGGACCCTGGGATCATGACCTGAGCCGAAGACAGTTGCCCAACCACTGAGCCACCCAGGCGCCCCCAATTATCAACTTCTTAAAACCCAAAGCTGGAAGAAACTTCAAAGAACAGCTATGCCAAGTGAGTGACCCAAGTCCAGGGGAAGTGAGTTTCCTAAAGTCACCAGGGGGGACGCCTGGGTGGCTCAGTTGGTTAAGCGACTGCCTTCGGCTCAGGTCATGATCCTGGAGTCCCTGGATCAAGTCCCGCATCGGGCTCCCTGCTCGGCAGGGAGTCTGCTTCTCCTTCTGACCCTCCCCCCTCTCATGTGCTCTCTCTCATTCTCTCTCTCTCAAATAAATAAATAAAATCTTTAAAATAAATAAATAAATAAATAAATAAATAAGTAAGTAAGTAAGTAAGTAAGTAAGTAAGTCACCAGGGAGTCAGTGACTAAACCAGCCTAGAACCTGTTACCTAGATCAGGGGGTCTCAAGTGGGGGCAATTGTGTCCCCCAGGGGACGTTTGGACACACTTTTGGTGATCAAGCTCGGGGCTTGGGGGGCTGCCACTGGCATCTAGTGGGCAGAGGCCAGAGGTGCTGCCATCCATCCTGTAAGACACAGGACAGCCCCCCGTAATAGCGGATTATCTAGGCTCAAATGCCGGTAGTGCCGAAGTTAAGAAACTCTGACCTAGATCCTCCTTTTACGTTTCTTTTAGCCAAACAGTGCAAAGTTCCTGCCTAGTGTAACTGGCAGTTTTATCACAGACGAAGCAGTTTAGGAACAGCTCTCCTGAGAGGATGTTCCTGAACCACCATGGGAGGTGGATTTGTCTTTTTGCTAAAAATTGTAGTTAACATTTTTTTTGTTGTTTTCTCTTTATAAACATAATTCATTGTAAAATATTTGAAAAGCGTGAAGGGGACAAAAGACATCCACGATCCTGTGACATTCAGGCTATTGATAACCTCTCTGTATACTTCCTTTCTTTTATTTCTCTGCATTTCTGTAAGTCTGAGTTCATACTATTTCACTCCTACGCTATTGTACCTTTTTCCTTTGAATTTCATAATTACTGTAGAAATGGTTTCCTATTAACTTTGCTTTAACATCGCTTTTAATGGCTGCATGATAGTCCATTTTGTGATAATACCATAATTTAGTTTGTTTTCAGATTTTTGCCATTATAAATAACAAAAGTGTGAACGTCTTTGTTCAGAAGTCTTTGACAATTATTTGCTTAGAATTCATGCCCAGAACTAAAAAACTTTTGCTACATGCTGCCCAATTGCTCTCCGGAATTTTCCAACTGCTCTCTTCAGCTATGATCAGTAGTGAATTTTCACTCCTGACTGGCACTGAATTTATCTTTTTTTAAAATATTTTATTTATTAATTTTAATGGGACTTGAACTCACAACGGGGGGCTTGAACATGGGGCTCAAACTCACATGGGCTTGACCTCACAACCCTGAGATCCAAGAGTCGCATGGTCTACCTGACTGAGCCAGCCAGACACCACTTAATTTATCATTTTTTTTTAAAGATTTTATTTATTTATTTGAGAGAGAGAGAATGAGAGACAGAGAGCATGAGAGGGAGGAGGGTCAGAGGGAGAAGCAGACTCCCTGCCGAGCAGGGAGCCCGACACGGGACTCGATCCAGGGACTCCAGGACCATGACCCGAGCCGAAGGCAGTCGCTTAACCAACTGAGCCACCCAGGCGCCCCTAATTTATCATTTTTATTTTTATTTATTTATTTTTTTAAAAAATTTTATTTATTTATTCATGAGAGACAGAGAGAGAGAGAGAGAGGCAGAGGGAGAAGCAGGCTCCCAAGGAGCAGGGAGCCTGATGTGGGACTTGATCCCAGGACCCCGGGATCATGACCTGAGCCGAAGGCAGACGCTTAACCATCTGAGCCACCCAGGCGCCCCTAATTTATCATTTTTAAACACTGCTGATTTGATAGGCCAACAAATTTGTATCTATTTATTTAAATATACATTTTGTTAACGATTAGCACCCTTGACATTTTTCACATGACAGTCAGCTCTTGCCCAGTGCTCTCTCAATCAGATGCTTGTTTGCAAACAGTTGGTCTTTCATCACACTGGGATAGTCATAGTTCTTACCTTGTTAAGTTTGGCAAGGATTTAAATTTACTCAATGCCTGGCACACAGTTAATGCTCGATAATTGTGGTTGTGATTCAAATAGCTATGGTTTGGCAGATGGAAATCAGTTCTGGATCCCTGGCCTGTTGATTTTCAATGATGGCATCCATTTGAATAAAATACAGAGAATTTGGGAAGCCTCTGTCAGAGGAGTTGATTTTCTACCAGATCCCTTTCCTCTCCTAGAAAGTATAATTTGACACCATGCCCAAGAAATATGAAAAATGTGAATCGTTAGCTATTTTGTTACTAAGGCCAGTCTGTCAAATGGCTTAGGACTCCTTTGTGACTATTTGTGCTAGTGTTTTGACTTGGGAGCGACACAATCTCAGGATCTTCTGATCCCTGAGGTTGTGCACCTTCTAACTCCCCTTAAGATCCAAAAGCTCCCCAAGATCCATAGCTCTAGAGAGAATTACATTTTGCTTTGGATATAGGCTGAGACTTGTTTCGTCTCGAGGTTCATGTTTGAGTCCCATACATATTACAGATGCTTCCTGTGGCACTCTGTATATGCTGAATGAAGACCTTTACAAAAGGCACAGAATTTCCCAGGCAAGAAATAATTCCTGGTGTGCTATGGTGCCGCGAGTGTGGGGGTCTTGACAGATCTGAGTTCAAACCTCTGCTCTGCTACTCACAAGCGCTGTGACCTGGGGGGAAGGATTTAAATTTTCTGAGCTTCAGTTCCCTCATCTGCAAAATGAGGATGCTCTCCAGCCACCTCCTAGAGGTAAGTGGGGATGATAGACAGAATGCTAAGGACAGTGATTCTGCACAAGGAAGGTGCTTGATTGATGCATCTGTTTCTATAAAACTCATGCTGTATTCTAAAAAGAGAGAAGCTTCTTTGCACCTCCCCCAGGTGGCTAAATTTTATTCTCAAGTCAGAAGAGTGGAAAATACGTAGATCTTGGTGTTATCCAAATGGAATCTGAATCCCAACTCAGCCATTTAGTAGCCATGTCACTTTATTTTATTTAAGATTTTATTTTTTAAGTAAATCTCTACATCCAGCATGGGGCTCAAATTCACAACCCCAAGATCAAGAGTTGCACACTCCACTGACTGAGGCAGCCAGGCGCCCTTAACCATATCACTTTAAACAAATGACTTCATCTGTCTCTGCTTCAGTTCCCTTATCTGTAAAATGGAGAAACTAATATCTACTTAGCACATACTATTTAGAAGGAGCTATTATTATTACTGCTGACACTGTGATTGCTTTGTCTGTTTTCTTTTAATGGCCATGTGTTCTGGGAAATTGGGCACATTTAGTTCTAGCCTCTAGTGGGGAGAATTTTAGCAGGTGTTGGGCTCCTCTGAATGGGCCCAGGGCAGGGAAGTGAACAAAGGAGAAGAGCGTTTAGAGAGGATGTTTGAAGGAAGATCTCCAAAAACAAATCAACCTCATTCTTAATTGTGTGTGTGACTTTTCAATCTTGGGGATATGACTCAATCTGGGAAAATTCTCAGTATCCCCTGCTACCCCGTCTTGACTTCGCTGGCACAAGAACCCTACTTACCTGGACCTCTGCTGTCCCCGTTGGGGTTGGGGGTGTGGAAGGTAACCCTGCCTAGCCTCAGAGTCAAGATCAGAGGTCCATCAGCCTGGATATTTTAGGTGCCTGCCTTCTCTCTCTGGACCAGAAACGAGGACTTGGACCATGCCAGAGGTGACCAGCCCTCCACCATCTCCAAGAACATTTCACACATCCTCTGCAGCCATTGGAAACCAGTTGTATGTCTTTGGGGGTGGAGAGAGAGGTGCCCAGCCTGTGCAGGACGTGAAGCTGCATGTGTTTGACGCAAGTATGGACTGGCGGGTCCCTTGGGGCTCCACTTAACCAGGTCAGAGCCACCCCAGCCTCCAGCTTACCTGATGTAGGAGGCAGGGGATAGAAAATGACACTTTGTCTGAGTGTCTCACTTCTAGATGTCTTTGACGTGTCCCTTAGCTAATATGTTCCTCCCACAGCAACATGTGCATTTAAAAAGGTATAAATGATCAATTTAAAATATTTAAACAGCGTAATTTATAAAGCAAAAAAGGTGAAAGTTTCCCCTTTAGCCTTTCCTTCCCCCTCCCCAAACAGAGGGAAAAACTCTTAGCAGTTCCTGATGTCTCCTTCCAGACTTGCCTATGCATTTCTAAGTCATACTTATATGTGTAAATGGACATTTATGAATTTTCTGTGAACTTTGAAATGATACAGAAACCTTAAAACACATACATGGGATCAGATTATAAATACCGTTCTACAGCTTACTTAGGCAGGGGTGAGGCTAAATCTCAGGAGCTGAAAGCATGTATTTCGAAGCCACCTAGCCTGGATGCAGGACCAGATCTGACACATACTTTCTGGATTACTTTTGATTAGTTAATCTCTCTAGGTCTTAGTTTGCTGATCTGTAAAATAGAGATAGTAATAGTGCCTACTAAAAAGAGCTGGAAAGATTAAATGAGATAATATGATATAGTGCCTAGCACAGTGCCTGGCATATAGGGAGCACCTCAGGAATATGAACTGTTAATGGTCCCTCCATTTAATAACACATCATGGATGTCTTCTAAGTCAGTACCAATTTCCTTGCAGAGCATATCCTGTGGGTATTCCTTATTCATTCATTCATTCATTTTCCTACTGATTGGCTTTTTGCTGACGGTGTTGCAGTGAACATATACATTAATTTTTTATGTATTACAAACATTTATATGGAGGAGATGGAGTGGAATTACTGGGTGAAAATGGTGCAAACATTTAGAATTATGAGACCTCTTGCCAGGATTTTGTGTAAGGAGCATTTATTTGCATTTCTTCCTCTTACTAGTGGGCATTTATGAATAACAATTTACAAATAACATGTGACAAAAATAGTTTTCATGTGTGTTTTTCACGAGAGATGCAGCCCTTTTTTTGAGAAGATGTAATAAGCAAAATTTCAAACTTGCAAAGTAAAATTGGAAGAATGAAGACACATCACAGTATGACTTTTCTCTTTCCTGAAAGAATGGGCTTTGCAAATCTTTTAAGGCAGTTTTTAAAATGTTAAATAATGTTGGTTTTGAATACATGAAACTCTAAGGAATGAGGAAGAAAATGTATATATATATATATGTATACTCTATGTACATATATATATAATACTATCACTCCCAAAGTATTAAGATCTCAGTGTGTTTCCATCCAATCTTTTTATTTTTTATTTTTTAATTTTTTTTAAAGATTTTATTTATTTATTTGAGAGAGAGAATGAGAGAGAGCACATGAGAGGGGGGAGGGTCAGAGGGAGAAGCAGACTCCCCGCAGAGCAGGGAGCCCGATGCGGGACTTGATCCAGGGACTCCAGGATCATGACCTGAGCTAAAGGCAGTCGCTTAACCAACTGAGCCACCCAGGCGCCCTTATTTTTTTTTTAATAGCAGAGATGGGGCACCTGGCTGGCTCAGTTGGTAGAGCATGGCACTCATTGGGGGTAGAGTTTACTTAATAAAATAAATAAAATCTTTAAAAATAGCAGAGATAATTCTACATGTAATATTGTATCCTATATTTTTCACTTAAGCACTTCCCCTCTGATCATGAAGTCTTCAATATTTTTATTTATTTGTTTGTATTAAGTAGGCTCCACGCCCAATGTAGGGCTTGAACTGACCCTGAGATTAAGAGTCCCATGCACTGTTGACTGAGCCCGCCAGGTGCCTCAATTATCAACATTTTTAGTAAATACATAGTATTCTATCTTGACTGTAGCAATAACAACCAGTCACCTGTTGGTGCACTGAAGCTATTTTCAGTTCTTCTCTATTACAAACAATGCTGTAATGAATGTGTTTGTGCATAAACCTTTTTCAGATTATTTCAAACTGTATTCCTTCGAACAGTGGGGCTCCATGCACAATCTTCAGGCACAAACAGTAATTCTAACACAAACTCTCATGCACTGAGTGCTTCCTCTGAGCCTGTGCTTTATGTACATCATCCCATTTAATCCATACTTTAACCCTGAGAGCTAGGTAGTATCTTTATCCCCATTTTACAACTGTAAAAACTAGAGCTTAAGGAATTCACTGGTGCAAGGCCACCAAGTTATTCAGTGAAATGAGCCAGTTTTAACTCCATGCCTTGTGTTCTGACTCTCACCCTATACTGCCACTTTAGCAGGCCCTGCTAACTTCCAAAGTAGTCCTTTTTTTCCCCCATGCTTCCAGCAAATCAATTAAAGATATCGTCTTGAAAAAGGAAGACTGAAGGCCTGTAAGGGAAGAAGCAGACTCATTCTTTTGAACCCCGGGGCAGTTCCAGGTCAAAGCAAGGAATAGTCTCCTAATGCCCTGTAGAGAGGGCAGGCCTGTTAGGTAGTGAATTCTCCAGCCCCGGAAGTGTTCAGGCCGAGGCTGTACAGGCTGTAGGAGAAGGGAGGCCTGGATTGGGTTGGCACGTTGGAGTGAATGACCCCAAGGTCACTTTCTGCTTTGAGCATCTCTGCTTGCTGGGAAATGAAGCTTGGGTCTGTTTCTCATGTTCTTCCTAGCTTTTTCATCTGATGTCAATGAATTTACTTTTCTAGACACTCTGACCTGGTCACAGCCAGAGACACTTGGAAAACCTCCATCCCCCCGGCATGGTCATGTGATGGTGGCAGCAGGGACAAAGCTCTTCATCCATGGAGGCTTGGCAGGGGACCAATTCTATGATGATCTCCATTGCATTGATATAAGTAAGTAGGGTAGAGGGCATGGGGGCTTGTCTGCTTAAAATTAAATAAAATATGCTTTGATAGAATATAGCTTTCCTCATAAGTGTGGGTACCTTGGCCAGTCAGCAGAATCTTGGCTAGATTTCTGCCAAATGTGGCCTGAATAATAATAATAATACCAATGAAAGCAATCCCTTTCTGAGTACTTGCTATGTACACAGCCATTAATTATCTCTTATGCTTCCAACAACCCTACTCTTTCATTAAAATTCATTATGCTTTGTGTTCCCTGACTGGATTCCCTGGCTGGCATCAACGACTAACCCTATGCCCATGAGGGGCATGGACAACTTCGAGTGTGTCCGGAGGTTGGTGACCAGAATTGCCATGGTAAATGGTTGAAAACACCGGGAAGAAGGGTGCCTCAGTGGCTCAGTCAGTTAAGCATCTGCCTTCGGCTCAAGTCATGATCTCAGGGTCCTGGGATTGAGTCCCACATGGGGCTCTCTGCTCAGCGGGGAGTCTGCTTCTCCTTCTGTGCTCTCCCTCTCTCTCTCAAATAAATAAATCTTAAACACACACACACACACACACACACACCAGGAAGAGGAAAGTTAGGGAGAATATGAGAATTGTCTCTAAGGGTCTAAAGGGCTGATGTGTCATAAAGATCCTCCACTTATTCTGAGTCATTCTTTCAGACTGTGAGCTTCCTTAGGTCAGGGGCTATGTCTCTTTTGTTTCCCAGTATATTTCCAGCACTTAACACAGTGTCTGGTAGATTGAGGATGATGAGTGTGTATCTTGAATGGACAAACAAATGAACATCTTTTGCGTTACTTTAGACTACAAGAATTGGAACAGTGGGCAGAAGGCGCGAGAACTGCTATGTAGTGTATTGGGCTACCTTGCCCAACAATGGATTCTCTGGTTTGGTGACATCTGAGGCTAGGTGACACTGGCTGGGATTCTTGTTTTGGCTAGGTTGGGTGATCTCCCTTCCAACTCTGAGATGCTGGGCCCCTGCCTTGAATTGACAGATGGAAAATATCTTCACAGAAGTGTTCCTTGCAGTAGTCAACTGGGATTTTATTTTTAAATTATTTGTTTATTTTTTAAAAGACTTTATTTTTTCAACAGTGAGAGAGTGAGAGCACGAACGGGGGGATGGGGGAGGGGCAGAGGGAGAGGGAGAAGCAGGCTCCCTGCTAAGCAGGGACCCAGACACAGGGCTTGATCCCAGGACGCTGGGATCATGACCTGAGCCAAAGGCAGATACTAACCGACTGGGCCACCTGGGCGCCCCTCAACTGGGGTTTTATTTTTTTATTTTTTTTTTAAGATTTTATTTATTTATTTGAGAGAGAGAATGAGAGACAGAGAGCACGAGAGGGAAGAGGGTCAGAGGGAGAAGCAGACCCCCCGCCGAGCAGGGAGCCCGATGTGGGACTCGATCCCGGGACTCCGGGATCATGACCTGAGCCGAAGGCAGTCGCTTAACCAACTGAGCCACCCAGGCGCCCAAGGCATATATTTTTTTAAGATTTTATTTATTTGACAGAGGGAGACACAGCAAGAGAGGGAACACAAGCAGGGGGAGTGGGAGAGGGAGAAGCAGGCTTCCCTCGGAGCAGGGAACCCGATGCGGGACTCGATCCCAGGACCCCGGGATCATGACCTGAGCCGAAGGCAGACGCTTAACTACTGAGCCACCCAGGCACTCCTTAATGCGTATTTTAAAAAAGAAAGTCCTACTCCCTCAGCTGAGGAACTACTTTCTGGCGATTTCTCTTCCTTTCCTACCCTGGTAATTCTCTAAACCTAAAATCCAATAATATCATGCCTCATTTCAGTGCTTGTTTGAAAAGCTGCAAATATCCTTGCAGAAATAGCCTGGGAGCAGGTGCTTGAGGCAACACCTTACAGTGTGGAGAACACAGGTTCTAGCTTCAGACCTGAGTATCAGGCTAGCTGTGCCTCTTGCTGGCTGTTTGATCTTGGACAAGTGTCTCCCTCTTTGATTCTGTTTCTTCACCAGGAAAAAGAGAGTAGGCAGAAGTAATAGCAGTTTCAGAGGACTGTTGTGAGCAAGCAAAATCTTTAAAGTGCCTAGCCAGCACTCATCAAGTTGCTTTCTTTTTTTTTTTTTTAAGATTTTTTTTATTTATTTGAGACAGAGAGAATGAGAGAGAGAGAGCATATGAGAGGGGGGAGGGTCAGAGGGAGAAGCAGACTCCCCGCCGAGCAGGGAGCCCGATGCGGGACTCGATCCCGGGACTCCGGGATCGTGACCTGAGCCGAAGGCAGTCGCTTAACCGACTGAGCCACCCAGGCGCCCCCAACAAATGTAATTTTATCTTTTTTTTTTAAAGATTTTATTTATTTATTTGAGAGAGAGAGAATGAGAGACAGAGAGCATGAGAGGGAGGAGGGTCAGAGGGAGAAGCAGACTCCCCGCCGAGCAGGGAGCCCGACGCGGGACTCGATCCCGGGACTCCAGGATCATGACCTGAGCCGAAGGCAGTCGCCCAACTGACTGAGCCACCCAGGCGCCCATCAAGTTGCTTTCTAAGGAACTGCTAGTATTTAAAACGTGCACACACAGACGTGGAACTCAGCTCCTTCCGGGCTGCAAATTAGTAAACGGTGACAGTCACCAAGGAGAATATCCTGTTATTCACTGTGCTCCAGAGACCACTTGTATCAGAACCACCTGAGACGCTTGCTGAAACTATAGACCCCTGAGGTCCTCCTCCCTCCCTGGACACCCACACTGAACCTGAAGCTCCCCCAAGTAATTTCTGTGCCCCTTAAACCTTGCTCTATTACCTCCCAGAATGCTTGGCGGATGGCCTTCCGTGATTGGTTTGCGCACTGCGGGAGTCTGACAGGTAAGGTGGGGTCCATATTCTAGGTCACATTGTACCCGCTCTCTTTCTCTTGGCAGGTGACATGAAGTGGCAGAAGCTAAGTCCCACTGGGGCATCTCCCACAGGCTGTGCTGCCCACTCAGCTGTGGCTGTGGGGAAACACCTGTATGTCTTTGGAGGGATGAGTCCCACAGGAGCCCTGGATACAATGTACCAGTATCACATAGGTGAGCAGGTGTTCACCGTGGGTCTTTAAACAAATGCAACCATTCTTTGAAAAGCATTACAGTGCTTTGGCTTTTCCCTCCACATCTAAATCCAAAGGAATGAAAACCAAACTTCTAGGGAATGAATGACATCATGGAAGCAGTAACACTGCCATTAGTTTTTTGTTTTTAAGATTTATTTATTTTAGAGAAAGAGAGAGGGGCAGAGGGAGGGGGAGAATCCCAAGCCGACTCCACACTGAGTGCAGAGCCAGATGCAGGGCTCGATCTCACAACCCTGAAAATAGGACCTCAGCCAAAACCAAGAGTCGGATGCCTAACCAGCTGCACCACCCAGGCGCCCCAGATTTTTTTTTTTTTTTAATTTCCTATTTCTGTTAGGGCTGATACAGCAAATCACTGAGCATTTCTGGAAATGTCTTAACACAGAGTCTTTGTATATTTGTCTTTTCTCTAACATAGAAAAGCAGCATTGGACCTTGCTTAAATTTGATAATTTTCTACCCCCTGGACGATTGGATCATTCCATGTGTGTCATTCCATGGCCAGTGATGTGTGCTTCTGAGAAAGAAGATTCAAATTCTGTCACTCTAAACTGTGATACAGAGAAAGGGGAGTCCACCAAAAAAGGAGTGACCCAAGGTGGTGATTTACATGAGGAAAGTCAGACAGACACATTGCTCTGTTTTGTGTTTGGCGGGATGAATACAGAAGGGGAAATCTATAATGACTGTATTGTGACTGTAGTTGACTAATAAATTCTACATTTTTATTAAATGACAAACTTTCAGGAAAGTTAAATGAAACCTTAGCTGTTTTGTACCTCCAAAATATTTTTTGCACTATACATGTAGCCCTCTTGCTCTTACCTACTTTGGTAGGTGAAAAAATGGATAGCCCAAGTGCAAAAACCTCTATTAAAAGGGTTTTACCAGCAATACAGCCTAAGTAAGTGTGATTGCTTCAGAATATTGATCACAGAGGAGCATCTGGCTGGCTTAGTCAGTAGAGCACGTGACGCTTGATCTTAGGGTTGTAAATTCAAGCCCCACATTGGGTGTAGAGATTACATAAAATCTTTAAAAAAAAATTGACCCCCAAAATGTTGCGGAATTAGGCTGTATAAATCAGGGAGTGGACATTTACAGGTTCAAGTGTATCTTTCTAGAATTCAGAGCTGCTCTCCAGAAAGAGGTGCAGCCTGTTGGCATTTGGTACTGAGAGCTGTTGGGGACAGGGATGAAGACTGGCCCTTGTCTTTCCCAGCCACCTGTTAACACCACAGCACACAGCACTGCAGGTCATTTTTAAGGTTTGTATTGAACTTGGCCTGAAGACCTTTGGTATTGCACTCCAGGCTCGTCCAAATGCTTCTGGGGCACTGCAGCAGGGATCTGGGCCTCAGAGTAAAATAATCATGCCGTCAGGTTCCAGTTCTGCCAGTTAGCAAATTAACCTTTCAGCTGGTTGCCCACCTATAAAATATTTATTATCCTTGAGCAGTGTTGGATTTCTTATTAGCACGAGAGCCTGCCCTTTATTGATCACACAGAATTATTCATTTAGATCATCCCTTTCCTCGGGGAGCCAATCCAAGTAATCTTGAACCTCTTTTGATACAAATGACTGCCTTTGATCCACAATTGTAGTAGGACTCAAAGTAGTTTCAGGGTCACCATCCTAGACCCCCCTCCAGACCACTAATGATAAATGTCAGAGATGGAGATTCTGACATAGCAGAGGTTTTAAAATACACCTTTATATCCTAAAATCGTGAGTTGAATCCAAGTGTATAAAGTTAACATCAGTGATCCGTCACTCATAGCAAGTCTTACTTAGAACTCCAGCCACTGCAAAGCATTAGTAATAAAAAGCCACCAGAAAGTTTTAAAGATAAGGGGAAATCAGAAATTTCAAGTATGTTCAAGACAATTCCGCCCTTCGGCACTGTAAAATGGCCCTTGCCTAGGTAAGAATGTTTACCTTTCCTGCCCCTTTCTCTTTAAGATTAATTTGACACAGAAAGAGAAGGAGTGGGTATGCCAGCACAAGCAGCTGGGGTGGGGGGGCAGAGGGAGAGGGAGCAGCAGACTCTGCTGAACAGGGAGCCTGACGTGGGGCTTGATCCCAGGACCTCTAGATTACAACCCGAGCCAAAGGCAGAGGCCCAGCTAAGTCACCCAGGCGCCCCTTGTTTTTTTTTTTTATTGTGGGGGGGTATGGGGGAAGGGGCAGAGGGACAGGGAGAGTCTCAAGCAGACTCCATGCTCAGCATGGAGCCGATGGGGGGCTCAATCTCATGACCTGAGGTCACAACCTGACCCCAAGTCAATTGCTTAGCCGACTGCACCACCCAGGTGCCCCCCACTTTTTTTTTTTTAAGATTTGAGAGAGAAGGAAAAAGGGGGAAGAGGGGCGGGGTGAGAAGCAGAGGGAGATGGAGAAGCAGAGGGAGATGGACAAGCCGACTCCACAACATGGAGATCATGACCTGGGCAGAAAGCAAGAGTCAAATGCTCAACCAAGTCACCCAAACATCCCCCGCCCATTTCTTAAACTAGATAACTGTTAGGCAAGTTCCCTGAAAGTACTAAATAAAACCCCCAACCCCCTCCACACAAGTGAAGACTCCAACCTTGAAGCAATGGACTTAATTAGAAGCTTATCACAAAAATTAGACCAGTGTAAATAACAAACATTTATTGGTGTCACTTATGGTAGAAAAAGTTCCTACACCAGATGCGCATGACCCAATTGTTAAATAGAACATTTCCAAGGTGAACACACACCCTAACCCAGCTTTTTTACCCACTTTTTAAGATAGCCAATTCTTCCTTTCCCCCCACCCCAAGACATGTGAGCAACTGCTAATGAAAAGCAGTAAACAGCCACTTGGGCTATAGCATCTTCAACTCCACTCCAAGGTGAAGATTCCAATTACATTCGAGACTTAAGTTCTCTCAATTTTCTCCTAACGAAAGTTCCTGAGTCCAGTATTTACAATATTACAGCACTAGCAATGTCTACAACTCATCTTTGTCTGCTGGTTCCTCATCACCAGTTGGGGGAGGGCCTGCACTTCCATAGAGTTTGCTGATAATTGGCTGAACAATTTCTTCTAGTTCCTTCTTTTTAGCTTTGAAATCTTCAATGTCAGCATCTTGGTGACTTTCTAGCCATTCAATCTTTTCCTCTACAGCTTTTTCCATGGTCTCCTTATCTTCAGAGGAGAGTTTACCTCCCAGCTTTTCTTTATCTCCAATCTGATTCTTTAGAGAATAGGCATAGCTTTCTAATTCATTTCTGGTATCAATGCGCTCCTTGAGCTTTTTGTCTTCCTCAGCAAACTTCTCAGCATCATTAACCATCCTTTCAATTTCTTCAGGTGTCAGGCGATTTTGGTCATTGGTAATTGTAATCTTATTTTTGTTGCCTGTACCTTTGTCTTCAGCTGTCACTCTAAGAATGCCATTCACATCTATCTCAAAGGTGACTTCAATCTGTGGGACCCCACGGGGAGCAGGAGGTATTCCAGTCAGGTCAAAAGTTCCCAGAAGGTGATTGTCTTTTGTCAGGGGTCGTTCACCTAGAAGTTACACCAAAAAAATAACTTGTTAGTTGTTACTGACAAACATTAGTGCATCTGGATTCTTAACACTTCAGTCTGTTGGAGCCTACACTGGCAAGGCCATGCTTATCAAGCTAGAAGTGGGTCAGTATTGATCTATAAGGAGTGGCAAGTGGGACTGTGTTAAGTTACTAACTTTTAATTGAATTTCTTCTCTGCAGCATTATGAACTCTTTTCTAGGAGCCAGAAGTTATTTTTAAAGGCAAAGAGTGCCAGGTAGCTAAATAAGAACTAGATTTTGGGGTTGACTCTATCAAACTCAACACTAGTCATATTAGGGACCCGGTCTGAAAAGAGGAGATATTTCTAGCCCTTCTCATTTCAAAAGAATATATGAAGAAGTCATGCTTCTCAAAAACATAGTATGTCATTCATAAATGTAAGGTATTACCTTCATAGACCTTGATTGTAACAGTTGGTTGGTTATCAGAAGCTGTAGAAAAGATCTGAGACTTCTTGGTGGGCACCACAGTGTTCCTTGGAATCAGTTTGGTCATGACACCTCCCACAGTTTCAATACCAAGTGTAAGGGGACATACATCAAGCAGTACCAGGTCACCTGCAAGGTAAGTTAACCAAGGTTAAATTCTAATTCAAGAGTCACAGGAGCACTACCAAGCAGTCTCCCCCTCAACTGTGTAACTTTATCTTCTCCATCTTGCCATTTAATGTGAGGTTCTATGCAAAATCATTTCAGAAGCAGTGAATTAAATATAATTGCTAATGATCTTGAAACTGAGCCAGGTCTTGCCTTCACTTTACCCTTTACTAGCTATGTGACCTTGTTGCTCATGTTCTATTACCTTCTAAAGCAACAGATAATTATACTCTTCCTATCAAGCTATGGAAGTACCGTGGAAAATGCTGTGACAGTGACATACCTGTATCTTGATCACCAGAGAGTACGCCAGCCTGGACAGCAGCACCATATGCTACAGCCTCATCTGGGTTGATGCCACGGGATGGCTCCTTGCCATTGAAGAACTCTTTAACCAGTTGTTGAATCTTTGGGATTCGAGTAGAGCCACCAACAAGAACAATTTCATCAATATCAGACTTCTTTAAGTCAGAATCCTCCAGCACCTTCTGAACAGGCTTCATGGTAGAACGGAACAGGTCCTAGAATAGGAAACACAATTACTGTGATGATGCCTATTGTACCTAAACATTCTCTACATATCTAAATGCAGTATCTCAAACACAGAGTCTAACTAGATCTCCTTAGCAAAGCAAAAAAAACAAGGCACATACCATATTTAGCTCTTCAAATTTGGCCCGGGTCAGAGTCTCAGAGAAGTCTTCTCCTTCATAGAAAGACTCAATTTCAATTCTTGCTTGATGTTGAGAGGACAGGGCCCGTTTGGCCTTTTCTACCTCCCGCCGGAGTTTCTGCACAGCTCTGTTGTCTTTCCTAACATCTTTGCCAGTCTTCTTTTTGTAGAGTTTGATGAAGTGTTCCATGACACGTTGGTCAAAGTCTTCTCCACCCAGGTGAGTATCTCCATTAGTAGCCACGACTTCGAAGACACCATTGTCAATGGTGAGAAGAGACACATCAAAAGTTCCACCACCCAGGTCAAACACCAGGATATTCTTCTCCCCTTCCCTCTTATCCAAGCCATAAGCAATAGCAGCTGCTGTACTGTTAAAGGAAAAAAAGGCTTAGTTAAGTTTACATTTCACCTATTTGGTGAATGACCATACTTTTGAATTTAACACTCACGGCTCATTGATGATCCTCATGACATTCAATCCAGCAATAGTTCCAGCATCTTTGGTTGCCTGGCGTTGGGCATCATTGAAATAGGCTGGTACAGTAACAACTGCATGGGTAACCTAAAGGGATAACAAAAAGTAATTAAGCGTATTTTATCACACGGTTTTAACTCTTACATGAATTGCACTCAAACCCATCATTTTAGTTTCCAAGACAATCTGTTTGTTAGATGGGTATAATATACGTAATTTTATATCCATGGATTTTGAAGCATTAAGTGGTAATACATGAAAAGTCCCTAATATTTTGTTTGGCCTACAGTAAAACATGCAAGTAATTAAAACTGATATACACGGATGTCATTCAGATTCTAATTATTAAAACAATAACAGCATCTATACAACATAATAAATCAAGAATAGGAAAAATAAAATTACTTAACAATGTTCTAGAAATATTTACCTT